CCCCAGCAGAAGATGCCCCATTGGGCATGCCCGCAGTGCTGGCTGCCACCTCTTGTCAGGGCGCTTTGCTCTCACTGGAATTGCTGCAATGCAAGTCTGTGTTATGAGCTGCCAGATGCACTTACGCTCCTGGTGGTGATGGGGCCACATTGATCTCCCTGATGAGGGTGGTCAGTGCCACAGCTAACATCTACTGAGCAGCTATCTAGGGCCAGGCACAGGTCAAACACTTCCTGCAGATTCATCTCCTTTAATGCTGACCACAAACATGGCAGGCTCATCACAGATAAACACACCAGGGCTTGGAGAGCCGAAGGGATGTCTCCAAGGTCACTCAGAGGATAAGAAGCAGTACAAGCTCGAACCCAGAGCCTGGGCTCTCGGATGCCTTGACTCACTACACGCAGTTCCCTGGCACGTCCCTGGAGTGCCCACCCAGTGAAGAGTCAAATGAACGGATAGCGTTTCTTTCAAAGCTCTGTTGTGGCCCAGGCCAGCACTGGGTGGGCACTCCCTGGCAGGATTCAGTGTTGGTGATTTTGGGGTCCAGTGGCTTGGCCAGGGATCGGATGGCTCTGAAAGCCAGGATCCCAGGGCAGGCACTGCTATTTCATCAACTTGGGCTGGAAAATACATACATTATAATTATATTTTTAAAAACCCAGCAACCGGAGGTCGCGGTGCTGAGAGCTCGGTGCGGGAAGAGGCATCAGGAAGAGCAGGTTGTGGGGGACCCGGGTGGGCCGGGCTCGGGAGCCAGTTGCAGCTCCCAGCCCTGCCGGGAGACGCAGATACCACGGGGGAGGGCCGGGGGCGCAGTGCAGGCAGCTGTGTCAATCATTTCCCCTCCAGGAACTCGCCGGTGTCTAGGAATGGCGGGTTGTTCAGCTGCACCGGGCCTGCTAGGGCCGCCGCCTGGGAGCCAGGAGGCAAGGAGCTCGCGGCTCCGAGCGGGCCTCGACCTGGCCTGGCGCAGTTAATGACAGCAGGGAAGGGGAGGCC